TCCATACATTGTAATACTTCAATGTAAACTTTTTAAAGTTTTTGAAATTTCTATATTTTGATCATATTCATATATATATATATATATATATATATATATGAGAAAACAGAGACACATCGCCATCCAGTGGGTAGAAGTGGGACACATTAACAAATAATATAATATAATATAATAACAATATTGACCTGGTCTTCATACTATGTGATTGCCTATGCATTGTTTAAAAGATGATGCTAAGGATGTGTTTCATAATCAAAGGCCCTTACTTGATAACTCTGGACATGTTCGTTGAAATCAGTGCTCCTTGGAGGGAAGAAGGCCTGATTCTGTTGGTTCCTGCTGAGGCGCTCACGAGCAGGGTGACTGTTGCTGACCCCGTTGACCCTGTGGACGCACAACACTTGCTGGAAGCTCCGCTTGAAGTTGTCTGACAGAAAGCCATAGAGCAGAGGATTGGCACAGCTGTTGACGTAGGTCAGGATGACAGTGAGAAAGTAGATGCCGGTGATGAGGCCGTTCTCCGGGAGGGTGCTGATGAGGTTGAGGATGTTGAGTATGAAAAACGGCAGCCAGCACAGGACAAACACCACCACGATGATCACCACCATTCTCGTCACTTTCTTCTCAGACTTGCGGCGTTTGGAGAGTCCCGCTCGTGCACTGGCGGACTTTACCTTGATTACAATGAGCAGGTAGCAAAGGCAGATGATCATAAGTGGGCAGAAGAAACCTAGTATAGCGGTGTAGAGGATGAAAGCGGTCGACCACACATCACGTGGTTCAGGCCAGCTCAGGTTGCAGGTGTTGAGCTCTGGCTGAACGTCACAGTAAATGATGACTGGCAGTGTCAGCAGACAGGACAGTGCCCATACCATGCTATTTATCACCTTGGCAACACTGGGCCGCCGCCACCTCGCACTGCGGATAGGATGTACCACAGCCATATAGCGATCAATGCTCATTACTGTCAGACAGAATGTGCTAGTAAATTGACTGATGGAGTCTGCCCACATCAGAATACGACAGAGGAAGTTACCAAACGGCCAGTAGGTGAGCACGTTGTGGGTGGTGAGAAATGGAAGTCCCAGGATGTACAGCTCGTCGGCCACTGCTAGGTTTAAGATGTACATGTTGGTGACTGTCTTCATTTTGGTGTAGCGCAGGACCACGAAAATGGCCAGAGAGTTGCCTGTCAAACCCACGACGAACACCACGAGGTAGATTACGGCCAGAATCTTTGTGCTGTCCTCCTCGGCCATCGAGCTTCCATTCAGTTGACGGGAAATATTGGTGAATTCATTGGACTGGTTTGTGTAGTCTGAGATTGAGGTGTTGCACATGGACCCCTGGGTTGCCATATTTAGATACAGGCACCGATTTGGCAAGGAACCGCTGATTTTTGAGACCCCAAAGGGCTATAAAGAACAAAATGAGAATAGTGGTTTATCTCCGCAGCATGATATTTAAAATGAGAAATTAAACTTGCTTGTTTGACTTTTATGCACACACTGTAGGATAAAAATCCATAGAAAAATGACATTATGTGATGAGTTTATCAGACATTCCTTTAACACAATGCAATGCTTAATTCAAAATATGGGAAAATCAATATGGAAAATTCCTTCAAACACAATGCATTGAGCTTTATTTTTTACAGCTTTTATTAGTGCACAAAAACTTTCTAAAACATGATTAAAACTTGAACTGAACAATTCTGAGAGTATTAAATGTGACATAAAGACATTTGACTTGGAAATATCTTAATTCAGTATAGTTAATCAGCATAAGGATGGAGACTCAACCAGCTTTTCAGTCCTAACAGTAAAGGTTCCTCAATGGTTCTTTGGGGTAAAAGATTATTTTTTAGAGGTTCTTCAGATGAGAATATTGTTTTCAGTGCATTAATGGTTTTCTGAATATCTAGAAAATAAGCAGTTATTTTTGAAGGCATTTAAAGATTCTTCTATGGCATCAGGTTGTAAAACCCAATTTGGTTCTAACAGGAACTTTTAGCCTATTTTTAGATATGCAGCACTGGAAATTAAAAAAAAAAAAAAAAAGTCCATAGACATTAGAAAAAAAGTTTGTTACCCCAACAAAAATGTCAAAGGCTTTTCCTTTTTTGTGTTTCAAAAACATGCATATTCATATTGCATTGTCATTGCATGAACAATGTAGCTGTTGTTTTGTGTTGCATGACCTTGACTTTAAGTGGTACTCGCGCTGGATATGAGGCGTGCAAAGTGAGCAGAGCGACGCAATGTGTTGCACAAATAAAGCACAGCCTCAGAAATGCACTGAACCATAAATCGAAACAAAGGGTAACGGTGTCACTGTTATGAGTACAAACAGTCCAGTGGACACTAATTCATATGAACCGTCTGCATTTCCACCGCACCGGTGAATATTTAACTTGCCTTCTACGCCACAAGCTCTTGTTAAGCGAGTGCCTGACTGTAACAAAAGGCTGTGTTGATGTGCCGACACATCCACTTATTTTCCGTCTTACACTCTAAAAAATGCTGGGTTAAATACAACCCAGTGCTGGGTAAAATAGGGACAAACCCAGCAATTGGGTTGTTTTGGCCCAGCGGTTGGGTTACTACCCAGAAGGTTGGGTTAAACATTTAACCCAACCGCTGGGTCAAAACAACCCAATTGCTGGGTTTGTCCCTATTTTACCCAGCACTGAGTTGTATTTAACCCAGCATTTTTTAGAGTGTACATTTCCGTTACATCTTTGGGGCAGCTGTAAAATAGTATGGTACAAACGGTTTATTTAATCACGAGCCCTTGCTTAGCTTGCGAATCACCTATGGTGCACATGCAGATCTCTTTGTGCAGGATGGTCTTATTCGCCAGTTCTTAATATACTGTATGTATCGGCCTATAGGCTATATAAGGTTTCGAACATTTTAAAAGTTACGAATTACTGAGGGTGCGAATTTTCACTTGACAGTTTGCTGAGGGAGTAACCATAGCATTCAAGCATTGTCACTTTATTATAGTTTATTACATCAATCAATCAATCAATAGCTCAATAGCTGCTTACACTCTAAAAAATGCTGGGTTAAATATAACCCAGCGATGGGTTAAAAAGGGACAAACCCAGCTATTGGGTTATTTTGACCCAGCTATTGGGTTGTTTTGACCCAGCGGTTGGGTTCAAAACAACCCAATAGCTGGGTTTGTCCCTTTTTAACCCAGTGGTGGGTTATATTTAACCCAGCATTTTTTAGAGTGTAGCTGGAGACACTTCACCCCTAAAATTACCCATGGAAATTCCTTATAGAACGTCTTTAAGCAATTATTTAAATATAAATCTAATATAATGGTTAATTATGTAGATATGGAAATTCAGCTCTAGAAAATGTCACTGCCATTCACAGTCTTTATGGGCAAACTAACAAAATGTTTATATAGTTAAACTAGGCTATATTTAACAAAGTATAAATTGTACAAAGTGTACTAATCAAAACAGGCTTTTGTTGCAATAGGTAAAGTTTCCACGGGGAAAATGCTATTGGAAATGTTTGAATTAAAGTTGATAACCCGACCATTTCCACTAAATGCCACGCAAAGTATTAGGCTTAATCGGCCACAGAATGAAGCTACGTTTCACTCTTATTTGGTTATAGTGTGTAGCTGTACAAACCTACCTCAAACGCAATGCGCGGTCCTCTGGGTTTCAGAAGCGCTTCCACTAATTGACCAGACTCTTCTCCGTTTCTGTGATCAATAAAGATTAGATGACTCAATGTCTCCTTGTCTAAGATCCAACATCAAGAGCCAGCACATCACCTTCATCCCCGATTCCAGTTGAAACGAGTTCACTACAAGGCGTTATGTTGCGGTGCGCACATAATCCGCATTGTTTTCCATTGTGAAAACCACAAGTTTATTTGACTATAGCATCCACATCTGGCCAACCATTTAAGTGACTATTTGTACACCTAATAAATGTCGAAATGTACTTGTAGTGTTGAATCATTCAGGTCGGTTCAGGTGGAGAGGTGCTGCTCTCTCCAAGCGCGCACGGTTTTATGGGTTTGTCTGGTCTTCTGCGCGTAACAGGACCAGGGCAGAGGACTTCATACGTCACAGGCACAAACGCGCTTATGTTTTTCTGACCCACACTATATCCTGTCATGCATGGATCTGCACGTTGCACAAGCTCCTAATGGTGAATTTATTGATAGGCTATACTGAAGTAGCCTATATAAATGTGTCATTCCCCGCTGAAGCAGGTGACAGATCATAAAACTGTCGCGCAACGAAAACGCAACAGTGTAACATTTTATGGTCTTTTTACTACGCCTTTGAAAACGAGCTTATCAGGTTTTTTATGGCATTATATCACGTTCCCATTGGATACTGCACTGCTTTTGTCATGACACCATCCCAAACTCTGGACTCTGGCTGCTGCTAATGTTGGTTAAATGAACTCAATCCCACCTCAGAAAAGTGTCATTTTATTTTTAAGTGACATTATTATGACAGTAAAGCTCACACCTTGGCTGTTCTTTTACTTCTGCTGATGAGAGTATGATGCTCAGTACTGTAAACTAAGATGCACAACAAAGCCCTACAAAACAAAAATACAAAATCAACAAACTTTCATAAAGAAACCATATAAGAGAGGTCTTTGATTGCCTCTAATAAAATACTTCAAAGTGTTCATATTTAAACGCCAAATCTTTCTTTTTTTTTATCTTAAAGTCATTATCTGAAGTTATTGGTGAGTTCTTCTTGATATAAATGAATATTTAATAAATACGTGAAATTCAAAGGGAACATTTATTTTTTTTGCATACTATATCAATATCGGCCATTTGTGTGGCTTACAACACACAATAGACTTTCTTTAATAAAGATGCAGGTGAGGTCTCTGTCGGTCTGATCTTCTTGAGGACAAGGCATTTCCAGGACACCCTCTGGGCTTCTTTCCTAAGAAGAAGAAGAGGAAGAAGAGGAAGAAGAAGAAGAAGAAGAAGAAGAAGAAGCGTGTCGCACTGAGATGCATAAGAAATTGCTCGTTTCTTATCATTTACACTGGAAATAATGAGAGTTTCGTCAGAATTCATTTTAAGATGCATTTCCTGCAGTGTGTTTTGATGCTCAACTTTGTTATATCTGATGGTATGCATTGTTTGTTTAGATTTAACGCTATAGGAAGTAAAAAGGCTTAATTTTTCATTACTCGTCTCGTTACAGTTATGTGAGATTTAAAAGCAAAATGCCTTTTCCATTGTAATCACGTGTCCTTTATTAAGCTTTAAACATTTAAGAGAGAAAGTAAACGTAAAAATGTTTAAATGTCCTATTTCCGGTATGGTACAGCGCGTGACTGTTGTTTTGGTGTTTAAAAGTAATTTCAAGACGCCTATTCTGAGGTGCTCGATATTAATTCATTAGTGTGGTCAGACCCCTTAAACCACTTAAATTATATGTATTAAATGCTTGGAAATTATAGCCTAGTATTTCTAAAATTATTATAAAACAATTCATGTACTTATTTATATTTATATTTAGGTCTATTATAACTTTATAACAATAATTCTATTTATTTCTCTTTCTCAAACACGCAGATACCCTGGGGTTTATTGTTCGAGGTCCCTCTGGTCCTCTGGTTGTACCTCTGGGAGGCTCTGTCGTTTTGCCCTGTTATGTTGAGACGCCTTTAGTAGCAGAAAAAGGGAAAGTTGTGTGGAAAAGAACAGACTCCGAGACTCTGGTTCATCTGTATCAAGATGGTGAGAGTCGAGCAGAGTCCCAGCAGCAGGATTATCATGATAGAGCTCATTTCTTTACTGATCAGATTCAACATGGAAACTTCTCCCTCCGTCTGGACGATCTGAGCGCTCAAGTCAAAGGGGTTTACAGATGTAAGGTTTACAGCCAGCAGGTTGCAGGCAAAACTTTAGTTGAAATAAAAGATGTTGGTAAGTGTGAATCATTTTCTACATCAGAATTGAAAACAAAAACTAGGCTATATTTCATTCTGTAATATTTCAGCTGTTCTTTCTTCCAGAGCGTTTGCTAGTATCAGGATCAGATGAGTCCATATCTGCGTCTGTGGGTGAGGACGTCACTCTGAACTGCTCTGTAGACTCTCACATCACACCTGAACACATTGAAGAGGTTTCATGGAGGAAAACTGATAAAGATGAAGATATTCTGGTTCTGCTCTACCAAAACAATAAGTCTTTATCAGATTCATCAGATGAGCGATACAGAGACAGAGCTGAGTTCTTCACTGCTGAAATCCCCAAAGGAAACTTCTCTCTCAGACTGAAGAGCGTCAGAACTGAGGATAAAGGAGTTTACACGTGTCAAGTGTTTGCTGGAGGACTTTCAGCTTATGCAACTGCAGAACTGGTGCAACTGGGTAAGTAACAGATAAATAAGAAAACAATCTAAACCACACAAACTTGTACTATTAAAAATTGTATACTCTTTGAAGAAATGTTTATTCACAAATCTAAAGGGATCGATCGCAAAGTCCCAATTACAGGAGCCACTAAATAGTTCCATACACAATAGTTTACAAAGGGCACCTCAAATAAACTTGAAAGGTACTTTGTAGCCTAATGTATATAGAAACTTTCAAGGGCTCTAACTTCCAAACCTGGTAATGGATTTTGTTTTTGTTAAATTAACAGGCCTATGCATTTTGTTGTAATAATAATTTATTTAAATTACCTTAATTTAATTCAAAATAATTTGAATAATGACTTTATTGAGAGAATTTTTTGTATTGTATTGTGCAATCAGTAATTTTGGAAACTGTGTTGTATCACTTGATAAATGCACAAAAAGACCAATGTGAACCTGTGTCCTGAAGGGAAAAAAATATATATTGAGAACCATTTACCTAGACCTCCTTATGCCAGAGAGGTTCTTTGTTGATGTTTTGTTTTGTAGCACCTTTTTTGACACACAGACATTCTACTTAGGACCCTAATGAAACCTTGTTTGTCTAGAGTGGTACGGCAGAAATTCTAAATATATTGGCTTACCCCAGAATTCAGTACCTGAGTTCCATTTAGCCGTTTAGTTCCATACAGTGTCACACATTGTGTAACTGATGTTTGTTTGATAGGTTTCTCTTGGCTACAAATAACTGTGTTGATTCTCTGTATTATTGCACCTGTATCTGCACTTCTGCTTTGCTGGATTGTTTACTCCAGTTCAGAAAATCGAGGTATGCTTATATGAGAAATAGGCTTCAAATATTTATTGTATATTCTTTATTCTATATATGAAATGAAAATAATTTATTTAAAAAAAAAAATATATATATATATATATATATATATATACAGTGCCACTTGAAAGTTTGTGAACCCCTTGCAGAATCTGTGAAAATGTGAGTAATTTTAACAAAATAAGAGAGATCATACAAAATGCATGTTATTTTTTATTTAGTACTGTCCTGAGTAATATAGTTTACATAAAATATGTTTACATATAGTCCACGAGACAAAACAATAGCTGAATTTATTAAAACAACCCCGTTCAAAAGTTTGGGAACCCTTGGTTCTTAATATTGTGTGTGGTTACCTGGATGATCTACCACTGTTTTCTGTTTTGTGATGGTTGTTCATGAGTCCCTTGTTTGTTCTGAACAGTTAAACTGAGCACTGTTCCTCAGAAAAATCCTTTCCAGCAGTGACTGTATGATTTTGAGATCCATCTTTTCACACTGAGGACAATTGAGGGACTCAAACACAACTATTAAAAAAGGTTCAAACATTCACATTCAGCGGGGGGTGAACACGTTTTGAATTTGAAGATCAAGGTAAATTGTACTTAATTTGTTTTCCGGGAAACATGCAAGTATCTTCTGTTGCTTCCGAAGGGCAGTACTAAATAGAAAAAAATTATATTTCTACAAAATAAGAAAAATTTGGACAGCTTCATCCTGTTCAAAAGTTTTCCTCTTAATGGGCTCTTAATGCATCGTGTTTCCTTCTGGAGCATCAGTGAATGTTTGAACCTTTTTTAA